ATAATGGCCAGTTTATTATATCTCCCCCCCCCCCAAGCCTATTAAACTGAAATGTATTTCTTTATTTCCTTAAATAATTTTCAAGCTTTTCAAAATTATTTTTTTAATATAAATTGGGTTATCTTTGTATTATTCCATTGGTAGTGTAATCCCTGGGCCTCAAACAAATTACATTGATCATTAACTAGTAAGTTTACAGGAACTTTACATAGGAAATTTTGCTATTTTTCTATTTAGTTTAGATTTGGTTGATTGACACAGCCAGTTTGTATTGGTGCCTGATAAAAACGTGGGCCACTGGGGAAAGATTTTTAGAGGTTCTTGTTATTAATTAACATTTGATGATGATGTTTTCTATAAGTGACTTTCCTGTTGTTTAAAAGTAAGTGACACAGTGTGGCAAGGTGGCTTGGTCATTGGGAGCACTGGCTGCTCCTCAATTCAATTCCAACAATCACATGGTAGCTCATAACTGTCTGGAACTTCAGTTCCAGTGCTCTCTCCTAGGCTCTGCAGGAATGAGGTATATAGACATAGATGTAGGCAGGCAATAAAATGTCCTATGCATAGTGGAATCAAGCCATTAAGCATAATACTAAAGGCGTGAGTAGCCCAGAGAGAAAGAATGCATTTTATTTTGTAAGCTTGTCTCAGCAGCACTTAAAAAATTTGAGAACAATATTCATTCAACCATTTTAAAGAAGAAAAATGAAGGATAGGTATTAGTTTTTAGAATGTGATATGTTAATATAGGTTGTATTAAATGGATTCAGTAGTTTATAATAGTTCTGTTATAATCTCTAACAATGAGGCTGAAGTAACAGTGACTAAATGACATTTAAGAGGAAAATGGAACTGATTGTGGTGACACACTCATGTGACCGCAACACCAGAGGCCTGGGAGTTGAGGACTACAGAGAGAGGCATGGTCTTCAGGAGAGAGACACCAGTAATAGGAAAGCATACACCTCTACTAACATGTATTTACCTACATTCGAAAGCATTGAAACCTTTCTAACCAAGAGTCCTTCTAAGGACTGTGTCAAGGTTGGCCATGGTGTCACATGCTTGTTGTAATGGTAGCACTTAAGAGACTGAGGTTCAAGTTACAGACAAAAGTTAGAGCCTGCTGTCAAAACCAACTAGAGGGAGAAAAGTGGGATTATGTCTTTCAGAAACAGCTGAGGCCTGTCATTTGCTCTTACATAGGGAAGATTAGAAGTGTATTCCATGTATAAATGTAATTTCTGATCAGTAGACTATACTTAATTTTTTAATGATCCAAGCATATTTTGTTTTCAAAGAATGGTGTAAAACACATATTCATTCAAAAACTAACTACAGTATTAAAAAATACTTCTTTAATTAGTTGTCTTTATGCGGTAAGTTGCTTATGTTGCTCAGTTATGAATTTCATGTTTATTTTGCACATTCATGGTAGTCTAAATGTCACAATGTGGATTTTATTCCATAAGATTCTATGTAAGAGTACATACCAGCATAGTAAGATAATGTGAGAAATGTTATGTGTTCCCATTTTGTTGTTGCTGTAAGAAAACTCACATGTATTTATTTTAACTCTGCCAAGACTTGAAATAACGTAATAGTTACTAATTACCTATATTTGGTAAGATTTCTTTTTTCTTTCTGCCTGTTTTCATGTTTTTGTAAATATTGAAATTTAAGCTTTTATTTTTATTAATACATCTATCTAGGCTTTAAAAGGTTGAGGCTAATTAAAAATTAAAGTTAGTTGCTTATTTTATAACAGTAAAGGTCAAGATATCTGAAAGTGTCTTTAATAATGATTAGACTCTCTTTCCAGGGCCCAGCACTAGAAGACTTCAGTCATTTGCCGCCAGAGCAAAGGCGCAAGAAGTTACAGCAACGCATTGACGAGCTTAACCGAGGGCTGCAGAAAGAAGCAGACCAAAAGTAGTGTTCCCTTAAGCCCTCACTGGTTTTGTTTGTTTGTTTTTCCTAGGAGTTAATGAGATATGACCACACTGATACACAGAATGTTTCAAAATCAATTCATTCTGGGCTGGGGTGTAGTTCAGTGGTCAGAGTACATAGTTAACATTCTTGGGGACCTGAGTTCAATTCCTTTCATTCCTCTAAAAATCATATATTCTACCTGAAATACTTTTAAAAACTTTTTTAAAAGATTTTTTTGTTTGGTCTGCATGTATATTTATATACCGCCTGCATGTCTGGTACCTATGGAAGCCAGAAGAACCTGGAACTGGAGTTAGAAATGGTTGTGAGCCTTCATGTGGGTACTGGGAATAGACCCCAGGTCCTCCAGAAGAGCAGTCAGTGATCCTAACTTCTGAGTCATCTCTCCAGCCCCTGAAATACCCCACCCCAGGGAAAAATACACTACTTAAACTAGAAAACTTTGTGGCTTGCATGTTATATAAGTAAAAAAATCAGGTCTTTGTTTGGTTTTTAATTACAGAATTTTGTTATATGCTATTGGAATTCCTTTCACAAATTTTTAGAAAACAAAACAGAAATCCAAAACATGGTAATTCGTTGTTAAAAGAAGTTCTACCAGCATCAACCACCTCCTGTATTTTATACATATTTTTAATGTATAAATTGAGTTCATTGGAATATTGGTTGTGGGATTATATTCACCACACATAAAATCATTTTACATGAAGCATATCATTAAATTCTTCAAACTAGTCATCCGAGTTGTATGGACAGAAGGATGTAACTTGGTTAGAAATTGTGTAACTGTAGTAATAGAATGAAGGGGAAAGACTGAGTTAGGAAAAGTCTTAACTACTTTTTTGTAGCATTCTGTGGGTGATGGGGATGGAGGTCTTCAGAAGTTCCAATTAGCAACTGTTCTAAAGGTAACTGACCCTTGTATAACGAGATCAGTGATCAGGAGACTTTTTAGGGACTGACTTGTAGATACTGAGAGAGCTATAACATTAATTGAAAAAAAAAACAAGGAAAATAAATTTGGGCGAAAGTAAAGATTTTGCTGATGTTTTGTGAAAAATTCACATGGAAAATATTTACTTGAAATTTGGAAATAACTTAGACAAATGGGATGGACAGGGGGAGTAGGAGAAAACAAGTAACAGGACAGAAGCCTACCGCAGAGGGCCTCTGAAAGACTCTACCTAGCAGTGTATCAAAGCAGATTCGGAGACTCATAACCAAACCTTAGACAGTGTGCAGAGAATCATACGAAAGAAGGGGGAGGTATTATGACCTGGAGAGGACAGGAGCTCCATAAGGACCAAATATATCAGGGCACGGGGGCCCTCTATGAGACTATTTCTCCAACCAAGGACCATGTATGGATATAACCTTGAACCCCTGCTTGGATGTAGCCCATGGTAGCTCAGTAACCAAGTGGGTACCCTAGTAAGAGGAACAGAACAATTTCTGACATGAACTCAACAACTGGCTCCTTTACCTCCCCTTCCCCCTCCCCCCCAAGGGAGGAACAGTCTTGCCTAGACCACAGAGGAAGACATTGTAGCCAGTCCTGGAGATAACTGATAAGTTAGGGTCAGATGGAAGGGGAGAAGGACCTCCCCTATCAGTGGACTTGGAAAGGGGCAGGGAGGAGATAAGGATGGGATTGGGAGGGAATGAGGGAGAGGGCTATGGCTGGGATACAGAGTAAACAACCTGTGATTAATAAAAAAATAAAATTAAAAAAAATTTGGAAATATACATCTAGAGCTTAAAAAACTGCAAACAGACACTGGAGAATCCTCTGAAGATCAAAACATTGTAAAGGGAAGTGTAGGATGAGATGAGAGGAAACTTCTTGTCAATTATATAACAGACATTTAAAAGTTGAACAAAGTAGAAGCCATTGAATGATGGTTAAGAAAGCAGAGGCGAGGAGGAGAAAAGTGTAACCCCTTAGGTCAAGAAGGAAGAGATTATTAAGGAGTATTAGTCAACAGTATCAGGTGCTAGCACCAGACAGCTCTGATTGGACATAATCTACAGTAATGGGACTAGAGAAGAGGAAGTAGGCTAACAGGAATTGGCAAAGAACCGAAGGGAGTGCACAGTTAAAGATGGTATTACTATTTCTAGCACAGATGAGTGGGAGGACAGTGATGCTGTGGGAAATGAGATAAGGGATTCTGATGGAATAGAATAATGTTAATGGGTGAAAATATAATGAGTTTGACTTAGAGCCAGGCATGTTGGCAAAGGTCTGTTATCCTAGCACATAGAAAGATCAAGAGTTTAAGGCTAGCCTGAACTACCTAGTGAGACCTTGTTTCAAAACAAAGCAAAGTCATGAATTTGATTTGGGAAACAATATAAGAACAGTGTGGAACATTATTAAGCCCATGTATGTGTAAATTATGTAATAAGACCTGAGAAACAGTGTGGGGTTTTTTTGTATCAGAAGTCTTTTAATTGTAAACACTCAAACACACAGATTTTAAGAATCTTTCCTTAAATTACTGACTGTATATACATAGTCATATACATATATGCATGAGTTTATACAAATTGTCTTTAATTAGGATGTATTTGTCTAAACCTAAAAATGTGACTTTTTAGGGTTCAGATACTTTAGTCCCCAAAGACAAATGAAACTCTAAAAACACATGAAGTGGATATTTAGTTTTGTGGTTTCCTTCTGTCTCTCAGAGAAGCGCTCAATAAAATGAAGGATGTATATGAGAAAAATCCACAAATGGGGGATCCAGGAAGTTTGCAGCCTAAATTAGCAGAGACAATGAATAACATTGACCGCTTACGAATGGAAATCCACAAGAATGAGGTACATTTGTTAATTCAGCAGTCTGAGATAAAAGTATATTTTTAAGTATTTTATAAACTTTATTGTGATAGATTGGATTTTGCCAGACATATAACGGTATTTATGTTTAATTTTAGAACTTTTGAACTGAAAGTATCATTATTGTGGTATATAATTATATTAACAGCCTACTCATTTATTTTATTATTTGGATTGTCATATAAAGCTAAACATACATGCTTGCTTCAGCAACACATATACTAAAATTGGAAGGATATAGAGAAGATTAGCAGCTACTGAGCAAGGGTGATATACAAATTTGTGAAGCATTCCATATTTAAAAAAAAAAAACTAAATATACTGTTTTTAAAAATCAATTATAAAGGGCCCGTTGGTGCAGTGGCGCAAGCCTTCGCTTCCAGTACTTGGGATGCTGAACTCTGTGAGTTCAAGGCCAGCTTGTTCTACAAAGCGAGTTCAGGACAGCCAAGGCTACACAGAGAAACTCTGTCTCAAAAACCAAAACAAAAACAAAAAAAGTCAACTATAAAGTTAATCACTGTATACACAGAAATAAAAATTTCTAAGAATCATAAAATCTCAAAGTGCATTTAAATTCAGGGTGCCTTAGGTTTTGAGCATATTGAACTGTCTGGGATTTTTGTTGTTATTGTGTGCTTTTCCTGAAGGCATGGCTCTCTGAAGTTGAAGGCAAAACAGGTGGGAGAGGAGACAGAAGACACAGTAGTGACATAAATCATCTTGTGACACAGGGGCGAGAAAGGTCAGAATTTTGTTTTATTTTTATTTCAATAATCATTTAATTTTCTTTTTTTCTCATTTTTTAGTTCCGTTACTATGTTTGTTAAATAACTTCAGTCTTTTGAAACTATTCTGTATCTTAGTTATTAGTTGGAAGTAAAATAGGAAATTTCATCTTCTTCAATTATAGCTTATCATATCCCTGAGCAACTAAGAATAAAAGAAAACAATAACAACACAAAACAAAGCAAAAAAGAAAACCTAGCAGACTTAGGAACCTCAGGGAAGGGAGAGATTCCCTTAAGGTTTTTGTGGAGTTGGATAGCTTATGGTGGAAGAAAAAAAGTATTATCCAGTTGCTTACAATTTGGTGAAGAAGAAAAGGAACAATGTCTTATTAGTTAGAACAGAGTTTTCAGCTTAGCTTTTAGCAAGGTCTCCATACTGCTGTGACATTTCTTCCTTAGTGTAAGGTCTTTAGTTTTTGTTTAGTTTTGTTTTTCTGTCATAAGATAATCAGTAAACTGCGCTTCATCTTTGAGATATTGTTCTACTAAGACAGCATAATTTGAGCAATTTTTTCTTTTATAATTCCTTAATCCAGTTTTCTAAGCACAAAATGGAAGTTAAAATGCCCATTGTACAGAGCTGCTGTGATGAAGGAAATGGTCTAGTAGTCTACATGGTCAGTCATACACAGAGGAGGTAGAATACCTGGGCCTAGTAAGTGTCTCACAGGCGTGAGCACCTCCTATCACGTGCCTGTCACTTTAGGAAAACAGTTCTTATCTTTAATTTTTCAAGAACTACAGAGAACTGGTTTTTGTTGTTAGGTTAAAAATCCAGGTTAAGGGGGTTTAGGTTTTCTAGTATTAGTATGTTTAATTTAAAAATGTGGTTTTCTAGCTTACTTAGGAGTGCTGCTAAATCTACTGCAGAGAGAGAGAGTGTGTGTGTATGTGTGTGTTTTAAGGCTCCATCTGATTTTCTTTTTTTTTTTTAATAAACTTGCAGTTTCCTTCAGGTTCACGGAGAAAAGAAAGTGAGCTTCTCTTGGAGCAGTCCTGGGCAGAGCACTTCTGTGTGATGGTTTGCAGGACCACTAATGAACTGCTTACCTCCATGCATGTGCTATGCTATGCTCATGGCTTCTCATGAGTTGAATCACAAAAAACCTCACTGTGGACTGAACATAGATCAGGGTGATTCTACTAAGGAATATCTCCGACATTAGAGAACTACATTGTTCCTTTTCCTCTTTAGAACCTTACATAATGAGGAATGTTTACTTAAATGTTTACTTCAGGAAATTAAATGAAGACCCATTTTATATTACTACAAGCAGTTTACACATTTAATTTGAAAATAGAGCTCAATATGGAAGCATGTCGTTTATAACTAATTTTCCCTGAGATCAACTTAGAAATAATACACAAAGTGTTCTCATGTTTGTGATACTTAATCAGAGATACTTTTCATGGTTTTTAGCCCTGAGGGAAGTTACACTGATGATGCAAACCAAGAAGTTCGTGGGCCACCCCAACAACATGGTCATCACAGTGAATTTGATGATGAATTTGAAGATGATGATCCCTTGCCGGCTATTGGACACTGTAAAGCTATCTACCCTTTTGATGGTATGTTCTTCATATATAATATTTGATAAGATTGGTTTCTCAAAGTCAAAATAGGTCATCACATATTTTAGTATCTTGGCTAAATGATACATTGTCAGAAAATTACATTCTTGGTTCAATAATTGCATAGTTTTGTTTTACCTATGTTATATAGTTTTACCCCTACCTCCGCACATACAGCTGAATTGAAGGAAAATCTTATATGTTGCCAGATCCTAATGTAGATAATTACCTACCAACTCTAGATAATAGAGAATTTTCACTTGATTTTAGATCTTACTCAAACTCACATGTGCCCCACAGAGCTGAAGCAACTTCAGCCCGAGCCAAGAAGTAAATAGCTTGTAGATGTCATTTCATGCTCTCCATTGCAGCTATAGTATAGAGAGAAGGCACAGCTGCATGCTATCAATTGTATCCTGATTCTGTAAGCTTCCTCTTCAGATGAGAGCAGCAAAGAAAGTGGTAGCTCCTGAATGTAGTGCCTTCTCCTGTGATGTGATGGCTGGAGAAAGGCTTTGGGAAGAAGAGGTGTTATGGCCCTCTCTGCTGACTTTTAGTTTTGTTTTTTCCTTTTCTGGGACTCTTTAAAAAAGTCCTCTACTTCAAATACCAGAAGAGCAGAGTAACACCTTCATCAGCAGTTATGAAATGCTCTGCAATTTAACACCTTTCTTCATGTGTTGGTTTTACAATTGAGTGAAGTCTTTACTCTTCATTTTTAGGGATAGGGAGCTCTCCAGGTGATTAAAGGCAACTGCCAACTTCACTGGGGACCTGCATTTCTTCCACAGGACCCACATGGTAGAGGAAACTGATACGTAAAGTTGTCCTCTGATCTCTACACTTAATTGGCATAATAATAGTACATCTTTTCTCTTTCACATACATAATGTTTTCCATTTTCGTGTGTATTTGTGGTATACATATGCGCATATTTGCATGTATATGTATATGGGTGCCTGTTCGTGTGGAGGCTTGAGGTTGATGTCAGGACTCATCCTCAGTTGCTCTTTGGCCTTATTTAGAACTCTTAGGAGTTCCCTGATCTGGCTAGCTAGCTTCTCTGAGGATTCTCTCTGCATATATGCTTTCTTTTACTCTCTGTTACCCTACTATTTTCCTGATCCATTCTTCATGAAGTTTTTGGTTAGTAACACTGCTCAAATTTGGAGAAAGAATTAAAATTGTAAAGTAGTGGTTAGATTACCCTGTCAAATTATGTAATAGCTGTGTATCTTACATAGTGCTGTGGCACAGTTTCTGAATCTGCTATGCTGCAGGTGATTATAACAAGCCTCATTGGCTTATTATGTAGTTCAGATGATTGTATGTGATGTGTTGAATAAACTAGAAAGCATCACAGAAAATGTGCTGCTTCTAACAGTCAGTGGGCTTTTGCATCTAGATATAATGAAATTTAGTAGTATTTCATGTTTGCTAGTATATTATATTTATAACTTCTTTTAAATTTTATTTTATTATCATTTATTACAATTTATTCAATTTGTATTTCAGCTGTGTCCCCCTCCCTTGTCTCCTCCCAATCCCACCCTCTCTCCCTCTTTTTCCCCTGTGCCCCTCCCCTAGTCCACTGATAAGGGAGGACCTCCTCCCCTTCCATCTGACCCTAGTCTATCAGGTCTCATCAGGACTGGCTGCTTTGTCTTCCTCTGTGGCCTGGCAAGGCTGCACCCCCCAGGGGGAGGTGAACAGAGAGCCTGTCACTGAGTTCATGCCAGAGAAAACTCCTGCTCCTGTTATTAGGGCACCCACTTGAGTCTATAGGTTACATCTGAGTTGGGGTTTTAGGTCCTCTCTGTGCACTGTCCTTGGTTGGGTTTCAGTCTCTGCAGCGTCCCCAGAGCTCAGTTTTTTTGGGGCTCTGTTGGTCTCCTTATGGAACTGTCTCCTCCAGGTTTTTCTGTCTCCCTTTTATTTATAACTTTTATTAAAAATTATTGCAGTGCTTTAATGTTGCTTGTGCTTTGAAAACTTTCACCTAGGGCATAATGAAGGTACTCTGGCAATGAAAGAAGGTGAAGTTCTGTATATTATTGAGGAGGACAAAGGAGATGGATGGACAAGAGCTCGGAGACAGAATGGCGAAGAAGGCTACGTTCCCACAACATACATAGATGTAACTCTAGAGAAAAACAGTAAAGGTGCAGTAACTTATATCTAAACTAACCAAGGCAGCTTTGTGCTGTGTATAATGTAAAATGACAACACATTCAACAGGTCAGAAAAAAACAAAAAGTTAAGGCATCCTGATGCATTGTTCACTATGTGAGCTGATTGCAGGCTTGATCAGAGAGTGTGAATACTGCCACAAGAAACTCTTTGACGCCTTACTGTTCACATGATGTTGGTGTGGAAGCTTAATTGATGCCTTTTGCTTTCTGTCCTGCCTAAGTGTGTGTAAAGGATGTGTGCTTTTCTGCCTTATAAATAATAGATTTGATTATTAGGCAAAAATCATAAGTAGAATGTTCCCTGCCCCCTTTACTTCAGAAACAACAGTGACTGATGAATTAAAATAAACAAACCTGCTCTGAACTGCAAAAAGCTGATTCCCAGGAGTGGCTCAACCTAGGAGCTTGAATTTATAGTTTCAGGTTCTAGGAAGAAAAGTAATAGTTGGATAATTGGATAAAATGACAGTCATTTTCCTTGCTATTCTTAACTTGGTTTCCTAAAGAAAGAAAACCAATACCTGCTGTATAATCTATTTAATATGAGCTCATCTCAGGGTCACAGGATAAGTCACCTGGTGGAGCTTGTATGCGAATAAAACAGCATTGAGACCTGAAAATATTTTCAGGCTTACTGGTAATTTTCAATGATGTACAAAGTTCATTCCCAGCTAATCTTATGCTTCTACTTTTTACTTGAAAGTGTCTTTTAGAAATACTACATCAGTGCTCTTTTAGCGTTTGGCA